GCAGGCTTTGAAAATATTGGATAAAAGGTCTAATTCATATCATCATGGTGAAATTTTAACAAAATATGGGTTTTTAAGTTGGGAAAATATGATTAAATTTGCATATATTTTACTTGTGTTCAAAATTTTGCATGGTTTGGCTCCACTCCCACTTAATAAATTTATCAGGAAAAATTTGAATTATTTTACTAGAGCCACTACTAGAGGGGACTGTATAATACCATATAGAAGAAGTACTTTTGGGCAATCAGTATTTTCTTATAGAGCAGTACATACTTGGAATACTATACCCATAGAATTAAGAAATATTACATCTCTTGCTCCTTTTTCTGAATCGGTAAAAGGGTGGTATTGATAATCAAATATGTCTTCATAATTTGAAGTAGTGTTTCTTTTTTCTTTTTCTTTTTTTGATTGTATTCTGGTTTTTGTAATGTGTTTGTTTCTGTTTTGTGTATTTGTGGATTATGGTTCTTACCATCAACCTGCCAGGGACTGCAGATGAAAATTAGCCTGAATGACTAAATCTGGCTCATTTACATAGTAGACTTGTTTACTCATGTTAATTAATGTGTATTGTCCCTTTTAAATAAAATAAAAACAAACAAACAAATTATGCTGAGATAAATGGTTTTAAGAAAAATGAAATGATGCTTTATGAAACTAAAAACCCTACCAGTAGGTGGCAGCAAGTCACTTTCTCAATGAGTGAGTCATTCAGTCATTCATTCAACTGATTGGTTCAAACGTTTGATTCATTCAGAAGCAAAGCAAGTGACTGTTTGAATTAGTCATTGAATGAGGTCTACTCATTTTTTCTTTCTTCCAAAATGTGGATTCATTCAGTAACGAAACACCACGGAGTGTTTAGAAGTTTATATATTATATATAAATTCATATATTATTACATATTTAAAATATAAAATATTATTTACTTTTATGATATTAAATATAGTACAAAAGTATATTAAAAATGCATTGTACATCAAATTCATTAGTATAGTATTTAATCATATATATTTTTTATAAGTAATATCATTTTAACAAATTATTTAATTGAAAGGTTAATTTTATAAATTCATGCACTATTTATTATATTATTTTATATCTAATAATAATTTATAAAATGAACACTTCAATTAAATGATTTGTTAAATGTGTAATGTGTGTGTGGTACAGTAATCAGTGCTTGCAGGATCTCCCAGTGCCAGTGACCTCTTAAAACACTCACACTGAGCTGGAAGAATTGCTATTTCTAGGCAAGACTTCATGTTACATTCATGAAGCTCACCTCTTAGAGGAGTCGTGAGGAGTGTTTTTCCTTTTGAAGGAAATGCTCTTGTTTGTTGTGAAGTTGAGAGGGGTGGATAAACAGGGCAGACTGTTTAATATTTTAGTGCATTACTCTTAAGGGCCAAGGAAAGGACACATCAGCAAGTAATATTTTCCTGGCCTAAAAATAGCTGCAGCTTAGACATTTTTCACTTTGCACAATAATGCTAGAGCCTCAAAAAGTGTGATAAATGATCAGCATTTTACTGTGCCCTTTTTTACTGTACCCATCTCTGCTCCTGTTTGGGGACCTGCTCTCTGGCTTTGTTTTACTTTACACCTTGTCTTGACCAGACATGATAAAGCAACAAGCGATAAAAGGATTCTTTTCCATGTTATTATGAGTTTTAGAAACCCAGGGAATTTCAAACTACATGCCAGGGACCCCCAAGTATTAAGAAGCCCCTTTGCAGACCCATTTATAATTTGTGGAAAAATAGTAATAATCATGTTTAGACAACGTATTTCCAAAATTCAATGATTAGCTTTTATATGTCTAAAATAAATGATTTAACATTTATATGTTAAAATATTATAGAAATATTTGAGGTAATTGTTAGATTGGTTTTCTAAATACTTGTGTTATGTGACTACATTATGAGTTTAGTTAAATTCTTCCACTCTTGTACTGGTTTAAGCTTCTGCTTAGTACAGTGTGTGAATGAGTCCCCAGAATAACAGACTGTGTGTGTGTGTGTGTGTGTGTGTGTGTGAGTGAGAGAGAGATGAGAAAAGGGAGAGAGTGAGCTTGGTGGCAACAGAAGCCGGTCCAGATTGAATGCGGTGCTCTTGGGTTTAGTGCAAATCCTCTAGGGATCGTGGGCAGTGTGGAGGTCACAGGAGAGAAGCCCAGCTCTGGTGCTCTGCCTGCCAATCAGAGGGATTCACAGAGGCAAATGGGATCCAAGGCTCTCACTTTGGCCAGACTGCTCTCTGGTTTGGGGAATGAATTGTTGAGTGTGTTCTGCCAGGGAGTGAAAGAGCACGTGTATCAGCCTGACCACCATGTAAAAATGAGAGGAAGTGGACAGAAGGGCCACTGTCACTCATCCTGTCTGCCCTTTGGGAACAGAAACTGGCTATGGAGGATATGGAGGAAGATGGATCCTGAAAATTCACAATTGGAGTGGCCTATTTGGTCAGGTTTAGTCTTGGGTTTAGCTTTTTTTTTTCTGTACAAAAAAAATCCCTCTTAAACAGGAATAGAAGTTCTGACACATGTTCACCGAACCGAACACATTTTATATTATATTTACATGCTGTTAATTTAAATAATGGTGAAGCTGTCAGTGTAAACGAGAACAAAAATATGCAATATATATAAAACGTGATATGTCATGTGTGTTAAAAAGATTCTGTCAGGACCAAGGGTTATTTTTGTTTTATTTATTTAGTTTTTTATTCTGTGTATCATGTGAAAAGCAAGCCAATCAAATGCTCATTAATCCAATTTTTTGTGTTTTTTATTTGGTAATATTTAATTTTTTCATCAAATAGTGGAAAGTGGGTCAATCTGCTGCCCATAAATCTGATTTTATTAGTTTATTTAATTATTTATTTGAATCTCAGGTATGATATCAGCCAATTATATAGCTTCAGGCAAATATTTGTTTTTATTTTACTGCAAGGCACCTATAGACTCCTGTACAAGATGGATCTTCAGTGCTTTACTCTGAGCTTATTCGGTTTTAAAGGGGTCATATGATGCTATTTTAAAGATCATTATTTTGTGTATTTGGTGTAACAGAATATGTTGAGATGCTTTAATGTTCAAAAAACACATTATTTTTCAAATACTGTACATCATTGTAGGTCCTCTATGCCCCGCCTCTCTCAAACACGTCGTTTTCAACAAAGCCCCCTCCTTTGACAAGCGCAGTCTGCTCTGATTGGCCAGCTGACCCAGTGCAATGTGATTGGCCGAACACTACAAGCACACGTCGGAAATGTAACGCCCCTTACCATAATCACTTCAGCTTTCAAAGTAAATATCAAGACAGTTAATAATGCCGTTAGTTTTACCATCAGAGTCGCGAGACAGACACAGTGATGATGCAGTACACAAGCCACGGTTAAGACAGATTTCATAATAGAATTCTGCTGTTCTCACTGTGGGTGTGCACTTCAGATTCTCTTGTCTCTTCAGTTTGACAAGAGACAGCAGCAGGAAAATCAAACTGGTAGGTGATACTCATTCCTAAAGGCCACTGGGGTTGCATAAATCACCCAGTGACAGGACTAAAACAAATCCCTCTCTGGCTTTTCCCTGGAGATCACCTGCTTACAGTAGCCCTATGGATTTTGGCCCAAACAGAGAAAAGGTGAGAGAGAGAATTAGTACTCAGTCTCTGTGATATTTGGTTCCTAGATACAGATTTTGTTTAGATCACTGAAAAGTAATGGCACACTCCTCCTCATGCATGATTTGGGGTATCATTCATCTCCTGAGTACAAACCATGCTGGATGCTTTCACGCCCCAAAATGAATTACTTAGGGTTTAGGGGTTGTTTAAATCCCTTACCGTAAATTTGAGCAATGGTAACAGTGATGCTTGCCTTAGAAAGCACCTCTAATTATGGAGACAGCGATTTTTATGAGAGCATTAAAGCTATCATGGCCAATATATCCCGAGGGTTTAATTGCTCCTTGCAGTAATTTACGCTAACAGACACCTCCTGTGAGAGAAGAGAGATCCATATGTGTGTAAGTGAGAGAAATGCTTCTGGAATCTTTGATGCAGGCACATTATACAAAGTCTAATCTTAACAAAAAAACAGTCAGTCTATCCTAGTGGTGAGTGTAGAGTTACGTAAGACCCTTTTATGATAAGCTTGGATTTTAGTTGGATTAGGGTAATCAGGGACGAGTGATGACACCTAAACTATGATGTGTATATTTCTTGCTCCATCGCGTAAATTGCAGAAGTTGTTCTTAATTTACCCTGTGAAATCTTAAGAATATAATATTGCTTGCCTTAAACTAACTCTTTGTTCCTTGCAGTAGCTCAAAAAATTTGTCCTGGGTTAGATTTATGAACTGATAAAACATACATTCTGCTCAAATATTTCCTGTTTGAAAGCTGTTTTTAATATATTTGAATAATGTCTTTTATGCACATCAAGGCTGCATTTATGTAATCATATATACAGTAAAAACAGTAATATTGTGGAATAGTATTGCAATTTAAAGTACAGTTTTCTATTTTTAGTGTTTTGTAGTGTAATGTATTCATGTGGTGACTAAGCTGAATTTTCAGCAGCCATTACTTCAGTGTCACATGATAATTCAGAAATCATTTTAATATGCTGATTTGAAGAAACGGCTGAAATGTTGAAAAACATTGTGCTGCTTAAGTTTTTGGTGGAAATTGTCATACATTTTTGGCCGGATTAATTAATTTTTTTAAATAATTTGAACATTTAAAAGAACAGCATTTATATAAAATAGAAATCTTTTGTAACATTATACATTTCTTTACTGTCAGTTTTGATGAATTGAATTCATCCTTACTGAATTCAAAGTATTTAAAATTTCTTTAAAAACAACAGTACCTTGAATCTAAGACGCTGTGGATGAAAGCGTGTAAATGTAGGTAGCATCTGGTCTGACTGGACATTAATGATCCCAGCATGCCGTATAATTATGTGCTAATGTCTCTCCACTGCAGGGTGCCACCTGATTCAGATGCCCCCGCTGCCTCTGCTGCGACGCCACCTGCTGCGGCTGCGAGTCAGGGCAAACCATCACTGCGCAGGATCAAGGGCCGCATCCACAGAAGCAAGAGCCTGGACAGTATAGATCTACTGGACTGCAATGTGAGTCGATACAGTGCATGCAGAGATGATGTCATTCAGTCTCTTGTTTTTCACAGGCAGAGTGAGACCACCTCTTGAGCATGTGCTGAGAGAGTCATCAGCTTAGCTTGACTGTTTTGGGAAGAAATTAGTTACAGTTGCCTCTATATAAATGTCTCTGTCACAGCTGTGTTTTTTTTTTCTGGTCTGTAATCCTGATACTGTGATGCAGATCAAATGCATCCTTTGCTGCACGCCAATGTCACCAGTGCCAAATCTGTCTTGACATAATGCTGCATTTCATTTAAATTGTGGCAAAGTGACACTTAAAGTAGCACTTCGTCCAAAAATGAACATTTTGCAATCATTTACCCACTCCTATGACATTCCAAACCTAAAAGGTGGTTACAAAGAATGGAACTGAGGCCTTTAAACTTAAAGGGGTCAACTTTTCCACAAGTTGGTACATTTACATTAACATTTAGTCATTGAGCAGACGCTTTTATCCAAAGCGACTTACAAATGAGGACAATGGAAGCAATCAAAGTCAACAAAAGAGCAATGATATACAAGTGCTATAACAAGTCTCAGTTATCTTAACGCAGTACACATAGCAAGGGTTTTTTAAATTATATAATAAATAAAAAGAAAACAGAGAATAGAAAAAGAATAGAGCAAGCTAGTGTTAGAGGTCTTTTTTGCTTTTGTTAATTGTATAATAAATGAAAAGAAAACAGATAGCATACCGAAAGATTAGAAAACAAGTGTTAGGTTTTTTTCCCCTTCATTAAATGTCTGTAACATACTTTGGTTAAAATTCCTCAATGGTCATGTAAAACAACATCTTTTTACCTTGTCAATAACAGCGAGTCGTTTCAGTGCTTGTCTCTTTAAATGCTAATAAGCTACTGCTCACCCCACCCCTCTGTTTTTTGTGTATTTGGTGGTGCATTACCATCAAAAACAAAGCTAATGCACTGCATCCTCAGTTGCTCTGATGTCAGGAGAGAATGAAGACTCTTATGCTCACTTTTACATTTAACTACGAAACGCCTGCCTTGCTTACGAGACATTGTTGTCGCTACAGCTGCTTGAACGAGCGCGGAGAAAATGCTGGACAGCGCACAACTGGCAAAGAGTGGAAATATGCCAACATGGGACAGTCCATCAGCAATCATGGGTCATACCGCTCAGAAAATCAAAACGGCTTTATAATTGAGACTGTTAAGTTTTTGGGGGATTTAAATTTGAATGGATTTTTATCATTGTAGGGTGGTTGTGTCCACACACTAAGATGCATTTATATGCATACACCATGTAAAAGTGAATTTTGCATCCGATGTCCCCTTTGAAGTATGCAAAGGCATCATAAGAGTATTAAATAAGCGGTCCATATGACTTGTGCACTATGTTTTAAGTCTTCTGACATCATTCATAATCTTTGGGTGACATACAGACTGAAATTTAAGTTATTTGCTGGATTCCCCTCCATGTGGGCTGTAAACGGCTGTGAACAGATCATGGAGTCAATAAGTTGAATTTAAGAGCTAAATAACCCAACCTGAGAACTGGGTCAATTGATTCATTATATAATTTGATTCAAAACTGTTTATTTTTATTTTTTAAGTACCAGACAATGCTACTGAACATCCTAAAGAGAGAAATGAATTTCAGTTTAGAATTCAGTGAATGATGTTCCTCACACAAAGCTGTCATGTGACTTGGACAGAAAACTTTGAATGTAGTGTGTTTTATCATTCTTTTATGATGCTTTTGCATCCTTTTTAAAGTTTGAAAGCCTCAGTTCAGTGGCAGTTTCATATATACGTCTCCTTTTGTGTGCGGAAAATAGAAAGTCATTCGATTTGGAACAACACTGGGGTGAGTAAATAATGACAGAACATTTCTTTTTGGGCGAGTTGTTTCTTTAAAGTAATCTTAAAATAATCCATCTTAACCTGAAAATAACTGTTTGATCATGACTGCATTGTCAGGGTACTCACTGTTTCCTTGTCCCGAGGTGCTGTTAAATATAGATGTAGATGGAAATTCTTTCTTCTTCCCTCCAGAGATTTACTTAACACAAACGTCTAATTTTTTTTTTTCATTTGAAATGTTTACTTGTATCAAAACAAGCTATTTTTTACTCATAGCATAACATAGCACCGCAACGTTCTGTCATTTACGGCTACATGTCCAAATTAAATGGAGCAGTGGGGAAAATGGCTTCTGGACATAAACGTACTGACCTCGCTAGTATTAACGGGCCACAGCTCACTGACTCTATCTCGCGCTAGTCCATCAGGTCTGCGTTTCATCAAAGCCCATGAATAGTTAACCGTTTTTATTCAGCGTTAGACCATCACCGTGTTCATAGCAATCAGTAACGATTAGTCTGTTTACCTTAAGACCTTCTTATTGATCCAAGACAACAGTAAACACTTCAGTGAAGTGGAGTTCATTTGTAACCCTGCATTGTAGTACTAAATAACGTAAAATTTATTTAGGTGTCGATTTTCATGCATTCGCTATCGTCTTTATCTTCCTTTACTAGCAGAGACATTATCATGATTCTGTGGGGTTTACAGACATCAAGACTAACAGTCCCAAGGACCCAGAGCATCACATTAGGCTGTTTAAATTTCATTAGGCAGCAGAGAAAAATGCATCGGACAGATTTTCTTTTACATGCTTTAGCCCTGAAGTGCAGGCTGACAGACAGCAGCGCAGGAGGTGGCATGTCCCCATTCATATTCCCCACTGCCAGATGATATCAGATTACTTCTTTGATCATGTGATGTGCAAAGCAAAAGTGTGAGTCACGTGAGCATGTGCAAAACTCACTGACGTCAGAGATGTGGAGGAGTGGTGCTGTGCTATTAAGCACCAGAGGCATATGCCAGCGTGTATGTGTTAGTGAACATGCTGTATTTGCATGTGTGAGGTCCTACACCATTAACAGATGAGCTGCCAGTAAAAGTGTAGTACATGTGACCCAGAGCATAACACAATTGTTTAATGCGATCCGAGTAGGGTTTCACATGGAGAAAACTTTAAAACATTCCATATGTCGGAGCTGAGTGGTTTATTTTAGTGAGAAATTAGAGGAGTAATCTCACAAATTAAATGGGTAAGCCGCTTGATTCAAGCCCTAAAAACCATGATATCCCTGTGAATCTGTGGTGAGCTGAAAGCCTCTTGCCTGGCCCTGGTCATCTCATGTGCACTCACAAAAGAGAGCCGTGTGGGGGAAGGAGAGGTCTGGCAGCAATACTGCCGGTTTCGGAAATCCAACGTCATGCTAATGTGTCACTAATGCAATGTAATGTAGTGTTTTAAGAGAGCTGTGACACAGACGTTAGTTTTAAATCACATTTATGACTCAAAATTACTTTTTATCTTACAACAGAGATGTAGGCATTCAAACGCCAGCTCAAACACTGTACCAGGCAGGATTTTCCATTCAAAATTAAATTGAGAATGTCTTTTCAGTTTCTGATTTTTGAATGCAGATTTGCTGTTCGAGTTTGAATGTAAGGACGTACAATTAAAACTGAAATAAATACCTATGGATGTATTTTTTAACTAGAAAAGCAACGTTTTTAAGACAAACTTAAAATGTTGGCTTGCCAAAGCCTTGAAAGTTTGAAGGAGTCGGTGTCTCCAACCTTTTTGTGAGTGAGGGCTCCCTGAAGGGATAAAATAATCTCTCTATTTATATTAAAAAAATTATATCCTGATATTTTGCATTTTATGCAAAAATGCATTTTATTTTTCCCTAAATTCTGTGTTTTCAATTTGATTTCTTATGGATTCCGTGTTTTATGATTCAGTGCAGATTATCATAAAAAATGGTGTCTAGTGAAATGAATTAATAAAACGTTAACAATTTAATCAATCTTTTAAAATGTAATCAAATGAAAATCAATTTACAACAAAACATAGCATTTTTATTTTTTTATTTGATTTTATCAGACATGATGCTGCACAACAGAACTGTATAAATTAATAATAATAATAAATTACTTGGTTGTATGATATTCCTTAAAAATAATATTATTATTACTTTGAGAATTGCATTGTAGTATACAGTAGTAATATATTCAGTCATATAATTTCACGTTAAACCGGACTTTTATTTTGACTGTTTGTCGTGAAGGTCTTTCAGTTAGTTTTAGGTTTATCGTGTATTTGACGATATGTTTTCTCAAATGAAACTGCATAAAGCTGGTGAAGTGACTCTCAGATCAGCTCTGAAGATGAAGTGCGTGTGTTCATGTCCTCATATATTGAGAAGCAGACGCTGAAAACACTGCGAGTCACGTGTGTTTGAGTTTATGTATCAAGTGAAACTACTCCACGCATTCACACAGACACACAGAACATGCAGACTTATTAGCGACATGCTCTGACTGGTTGCTGTAACATTTATTTCTGTTGTGTGATAGAATGTTAGATTAATCCATTTTGAGTAAAAATTTTATCATCATTATTAACATAAATTTTATCATAATCTCGATATGATATAATTTATCGCCCGACGCTAATTTAGGCTATTTATAGAACGTGCTTGAACGTTTCATTTCTCCTGTCTTAGGACATTTTGTAGTGCATTATTTTGTATCATCTGGATTTATCCTAACATAGAATCTTTAGGCAACAGAAACATAATGGGGGAAAAAGATAAGCAGCCAAAGAATACATAGCCATCTGCAAAACCCAGGTGCTGCTCCAAAACGTGGCCACCACCTTTGCTCACCATCCACTTTGTTAGTGACAGAAATGTCTTCTCTGAAAAACAAGTAGAAATGGCACACTTTTAAAAGGCAAACCGCATATCCACCTTTTTCTTCAACGCGGAAGTAAGCCTATGGGGGAGACTTCCGGTTCATTAGCCGCTATAGGTAAATAACGAGGAGAATAACAACGTGCAGTAAACGGTAAAACTGTTTGCACTACAAACCAGTGTGTTCATAATTTCAGATAATACATTAAAATAATATGATAAGACACACCTGTTT